TAAAACATCATTAGCTCTCTCGAGGTGATTCTTTCCACCATAAATGTAATTTGGTGGGATGGGGCATAATGAATGTATCTCTTGTCTATATTAGAGGCAGTATAAATCTGGGCACAGTCATGGAAGAAGAACCACTTTATTAAGTGGGTCAAGAAATTGTCCCTGGCAGCAAGTTAGTGGAGGAAAGACAGAAGACAAGTCCAATATTCCTTCCAAAAGTTACTATGTCAAGCCATGGCAGCACAGGCATGTCTATTCCAATAGTCATTAAAGCTGCAAACTTCTAATCATTTTGAGTCGAGGTTCAAAAGAGAAGATGAAAGTAGGACTCACAAATAATCTATCGCTCTACGAGCCATGAGGCCTACAACTATAGTGTTAGTCGATTCTAGATATGGATTACGAATACAGCAGGAACTATGCTAAAGAAGATAGAATACAAGCCATACTTTTTGCAAGTTCCTTCTCCTTGGCTGTAGCTAACCTCCTCAGTTTTGCAGCTTGTGCAAATGTTGAAGGCCTGAAATACACGTGAAGGCATAATCATATTTTCCATATCATAGAACTTCCATAATGACAAGATCAGTTTTATTTATTATATGAAAAGAGAAAATTATCGTGTAGTCTCTTGAAGATTTCACTTCCTATTTTAATTACCTGTTACTAACTTATCAATAAGTACTTATCTATCAAGTATAACTACAGTAAGTAACTCTACTAACAGGGATAGTTTTGAAAAATCACAACAAAGAAAACATAATGAAATTTTGTTTAGGATACTTTGACGTACAAAGAAAAGATGAATAGTTATGACCAATACTACATGTGAGCACCCAATGTTGTGGCCTAACAGTCACTGAAACTGTGACGGACAGTACAATTTCAGGATTCAAATCCTAGCAAAGACAAAAACGACTAGGCGACTTTTTCATATGTCTAAACCTTGGTAGACAAAGTTACCACGTACTTGTGCTAGTGGTAGACGAGATAGCAGGTGCCTAGTTGATTAATTGTGGTAGATAGCAGGTGCCTAGTTGATTAATTGAGGTATGAGCTCAAGTTGGCCCAAACACCATCATGCATCATTGTCAAAAAAATGTGAAGCTCACTTACTGTGACAAGGCACTTGCCTCCTTTAGCAGCTGTTTCATTTCTGCGCGCAACTGCATATCTTCTGAACTCGTAGAACCTTTCTGAAAAATTTAACATATCATATCATAAAACAAAATCAAAATCAATGGCGAACCAGGAAAGTATTCAATAACACATTAAAATATCTATAATTGAATAGAACAAAGCGAATTGGCTCAAGTCCTCCACATTGAATTAATCAATCATTGAAACAGCGATGGAGATTTAAAAGCAACTATTTCACCAAATCAAAATTAAGATTAAAACATCTATGAAATTCATATAGATTCATTGTGGAATTAACGTAAACCGAAAATTAACATCAGAAATGATGAGAAACTAACCTTTTTATTGATTTCGAAAAGGCGAGAAAGGAACTGCAAAGCTAAGACTATGATGAATATCATCGGCGCGGCTACCGATCTCTCTAAGTTCGCCGTTGATTCTTCCATTTTTGTCTCTGCTGATTTTCCGTCCGAACCGGTCTTTTCTGCTAATCTATTCAGGATTTTCCGATCTGTATGACCGTATCAGCTTCGTCTTCGTCTCCTTTGGGACCAATATGAACTTGGACTCTCCAGCTTTTTTTTTAATCTCTCTCTCTATTCTCCTTTTCTTTTTTTAAAAAAGGATAAAAAGAAAATTATCAAAAATATTTGAAACTAAAGTAATTATGCTCCTCGTTTTTTTCTTTTTATATATATAAAAATACACTTTTAAGTTATAACTAGTCAATATAACAATTAGTCATAAAAGTGGCTTGATTTCTTAATAATTATTTTTTTATAGTATATTTTACTTCTCTTTATAGTAATAACAATAACATTCATTATACCAATACATATGTAAACTACTCTTTATAATATTCATATTAAAATATTGTGTAACATTATTTTGTTTTATTTGTTTTTACTGACTGATAGTAGGTTTTACATTGCTTTCTTTGTTAGTACTCTTAGTGGTGAAGTCACGTGGTAGTCTGGGTGTCCAGTTGGACATCCTTGCGTCGGAAAAAATATTGTATATACAAGTAAAATGATACACATAATGATTAAATAACGTATTTTGAACATCTTTAGCATAACAAGCTATTGTACCCCAATGGTTTCACCTCCTTGGAAAGAGGAAATGTTTGTATGTTTGAATCTCACTAGTTTTACTTTTTGAAAATATTTTTTATAGTGTTATCTGGACACCCTTTGTGAAATTCCTGACTCTGTCCCTAAGTACTCCCTAGTTGTTATGTTTTCTAAATAGTTCTCTTCTTCTTTGTACTTTGATTTGCTAAATTCCTAGCTCCTCCCTTGAGTACTCCTTAGTTGCTATGTATTATAAAGAGTTCTCTTCTTCTTTGTACTTTTATTTGCTACTCTTGATTTAAGGTCTTTTTAAAACAATCTCTCTACCTCCATGAAATATTAGTAATCTTTGTGAAATTCTTGGCTCCGTCCCTGAGTACTCCTTAGTTGTTATGTTTACTAAAGAGTTCTCTTCTTCTTTGTACTTTGATTTGCTAAATTCCTAGTTCCGCTCTGAGTACTCCTTAATTGCTATGTTTTCTAAAGAGCTCTCTTCTTCTTTGTACTTTGATTTGCTACTCTTGATTTAAGGTTTTTTTAAAACAACTTCTCCATCTCCATGAAGTACTAGTAAAGTTTGTGTACACTATAGTCTCTAGCCTCTCATACTTCATTTATGAAATTTCACTGAATACGTTATTGTTATATTTATTTTTATTGATTTTTATTCTTTTTCTTTGTTGGAGATAAGAATATTATCTAATTATTTCGAGATTGATAAAATATATAAAAAAAAACAAATAGAAAATTATAAGTTAAATAAGAAATGATAAATTATTCGGTTCAAATACAAAGTGAAATTGTATTAATATGTCGATAAAAGTATCTAAATAGTAAATACAAAAAATATCCTTACAATATGTAATCACTAAAAACAATTCTCATATTATTTGTTCATTATATAACAATCCTTGTATTAATTATTCATATAATGATTTTCGTACAATAATCATTTACAATCCCCGTACGAATAATACATCAGACCACACGACTCCTTGATGAATATTTTCTCATTTAAATCACTCAATTATGATAAACTGCATTAATAATATTGTACAAGTATTTACCCATTATAACCTCATGTGAGGAATGTCAATAACTAACAACTTAAGTATAAGAGGTTAAATTACTCAAAATTTTATTCTTTTTTTTTTTTAAAAAAAAGAGAGTTAAAAATATCCCATGAATATATAATTTACTTGACTATTTTCGTTGAAATAGACATCAATACCACGATCATCTATTCATTTTTGAAAGACCTTCAACATAGAAAAAGTATAACAATATAATCAGGTATGAAAAAAAAGTAATAAAAAAGTAAAAGGAATAATAACAGTTACAAATAATATGACAATCGAAGTAAAAATAATAATAAAACAATAATAAGATCGAAGAGTAAGATAGTAGCAGAGTAATACTAGTAATATTGATAAGAAAGTTTCCTTGTAAGATGCAAGCGTGCGGTATCTTGTTTAATCACTTTCCCAAGTATTTTTTTGACTATTTCTACATTTTTTTTCAGACATATCATTAACAAATCTCGCACAATTCCTCACTGGGCATATATGCGTCTCCTCTTTAGTCTTTACATGTCAATCATTTTAGCGTCATTTTCCTCATTTTGTCCACTACGGAAGCATTCCAACCTTATTTTGAATATTTTTATTTTTAATTTGTCTCTTATTCGGGAGAAAACGAGGGAAACGAGATTTAGATGGTTTGGACATGTGAAGATGAGGTGCGAGAGGCTAGTTGTAAAGGGGTAAGTGAATGGGTAGAATTAGGCCAAAAAAGTATTAATGAGAGGTTATTAGACAAGACATGGGCGCAATTTCATATTATTGAGGACATGATTTTAGATAGGAAGGAGTGAAAGTTGTGTTAGGGTAAAAAGTTAATAGGGATAGAGTATTGTCTTACTAGCGAGGGTTTAGGATTTGCTACTCGTGGTTCTTGCTTTTGGTGCTTATTGCCATATGATATTTATTGTGTTTCGGTTACGATATCTTATTGTTGAATGTACACTGCTTTTCTTATGTAGCTACTATGCTTTCTTCATCATTTTCTTCTTCGTTTACTTAAGTTTGACGCACTTGAAGCGAGGGTCTTTCAGAAATAATATTTCTACTCCACTCGATAGTAACAAGGTATGTGTACATCCTATCCACCTAAACCTCACTTAATAAAATTTCACAGAATATATTATTGTAATCCTACCTCTTATAACATAATTGCTCACACATCTCTCTCAACGTTTTTTTTGCTTTTTTTTTCCAATTACAAGAATGAAAATGAGACAAAAATATCTTATTGACTTTGTTTCTTAAAAATAATTGCAAGAAGAAACTAAAGAAGAGATTCTTTCATCTCGTGAATTGACCAAATCACCCTCCCACTCGCGATCCGTCATCAATGATTCCATTTGTCTAGATTTGTTTAATATACCCAAGCCGCCCCCTTCACAGAACCGTCATAACACAAAAGGTTAACTTCGTCATTCCACCCCTAAACCACTACACGTGTGTGCTAAATTACCAAAAACCCCAAACTCCCAAGATCCCTCCACGTGTCCGTAAACTTCCTCAATCATTCCCCATCAACGGCCAGGATCCTCCCTCTGAGAAACACAGAGAAAACACAACGCCCAAAACCCAAAATATCTCAAAAGAAAAGAGCACTATATCCAATTACACACATTCACACGGATCGATTACGTGGCAAAAGAATTTTCGAAATCCCGCCCAAATCATCTCCGATTCGATTTTTTAGAGGCAAAATTCTTTTAGAGTCCCTCAGCGCGAAGAGCCCTTGTTATCTCTCTCTCTCCTTCATATAGAGCCCTTTCCCACTCACAACTCAACACACACAAAGCAACGCACCAAATCCACACAAACGAATAATATCTCTCTGTTTCTACTCTCTCTAGAGGTAAACCCTACGGCGCTTTACTCACTGACTCGGTCGAGTTTTCACCTTTTTCCGCCGGTTCAGCACCGATTCTCAACGGTTTTCGTGTTTTCGTTGCAGGTTTCATCATGAAAGGAGCTAAATCAAAGGCTAAAGCTGATACCAAGTGAGTTTGACTCTGTTTTAGTTGTAATTTTGATTCAATTCGTCTTTACGGTTTCAGATCTAGGTTTTTGTGGTGTTTCTATGTGAGAATTTGTTCGATTCGTGTTGTTAAAATTTGATGAATTGTTACAGGCTTGGTGTAAGGAAGAAGGCTACTGAGAGTAAGAAAGCGAAGAACGCTGCTAAGGATCCAAACAAGCCTAAGAGGCCTCCAAGTGCCTTCTTCGTTTTCATGTATTTATCTAATCGTTGTGTGTTTTGTGATTTATGCGTTTTAAGTGTTTAAGACAGATAGACTGAACGGTGTTCGTTTGTTTTGATGAATGAAGGGAGGAGTTCAGGAAGACCTACAAGGAGAAGCACCCAAACAACAAATCTGTTGCTGTTGTGAGTAGTTTACCCTAAGTAGATCCCGATTTCCAGCAGCATCTGTCGGTTTTTGTGTTTTGACCTTTTGCTTTATTGATTTTTGTTCACTGAATTGTAGGTTGGCAAAGCTGGTGGAGACAAGTGGAAACAGTTGTCAGATGAAGTGAGTATAAGCCTCAGTCATATACAGAAAAGTTCTATTCAAATTGACTTTTGACTTAATGCGTTTTGTCTTCAATCGAATTATGTACTGAAGTTCAGCTTTGTTTGTTATCTTGTTTTAGGAGAAAGCACCTTACCAAGCCAAGGCTGAGAAGAGGAAGGCTGAGTACCAAAAGAACATGGATGCATATAACAAAAAACTGGTAAATACTATATTCTTGCTGATGTAACCATAGTGTGTTCATACTCTGCTTTTTTTTTTTTTTTCGTTTTTAATTTTTAATTTTAATCTGATGCAACACAGGCTGCTGGTGATGCTGATGATGAGGAATCTGACAAGTCCAAGTCTGAGGTACATGATGATGATGAGGACGATGATGGAAGTGAAGAGGTTTGTATTTATGAGTCTAATAATCATCTATTAGTTTGATGATTTTTCGTGATTTGTTGAGTCTTATTGATGATTGTTATTCATGTTTTCACAGGAGGATGATGATTAAACAATCAGTAGGCTGTTGAAATTCAGAAAATGGTGGAGAAGTTCATGTAGGAATTGCTATCAGTCCTTACCTTTTATAAATAGATGCCCTCTTTTTTACATTTTTTTTTAGTTTTTGTTCTTTGGGGGTTTAGTTTGGACAGAAAAGTGAAATTCAGATGACTTGCCTTGAAAGCTCAAGTAGTTTATGTAATTTCTCTATTATGTTGGTGTTAATGAAAAATTCAGCTTGGGAATTACTTTTGTTGCTAGTATACATTTCAGTTGATTATGCTAATGGTTTGATGCAAAATATCTTTATTGTTTTCGTTTTGTTGTGTTGTTTCAACGGTAACTTTCTGCTAATTTTCTTTATGGTGTTTGGGTCCCGATCTGATTCTCCTCAAGTCTCCGTTTCCATGTGAGTCCACATTGTTGTACAATAGGAAATTGAGTACTATAGTTGATTTGAACACGTGGTTATTAATTTAACACTCTGATTCTTCAAGAGTGGAGTTATCTAGCTGTGAATTAACGTGTGTGACAGATAGAATGTAATATATTAAAGTCCATTTGAATCTTTAGCATTAAGATATTCCATTTCTTGTGCAGTGGTTCAAGTGTCTATTGTTGCTTGTATAGTCGTTCCTTTTGGCATATTGGACCATTTCCTTATCGTACCCTTCTCAGTGGACCAATTATTCGTATTCTAGTCTTCTCTCCAATATGATGACAAATGTTCATCTAGTTGGTGTATTAATTGAATATCGAGTCCATCCAAATTATCGAGGGAAAGAAAATGACATCTTCAATAAAACAATTTCTTAGAAGCCTCAGTCCCTGTATCGTTAAACTAAATCTGCATCCATACTGGCATGTCCAAGACTTGTATACAAATATGTAATTCTCTTACAGTCCTCCCTTTTTCTCAACACAAACAGATCTCTCTTCCCATTTTACATGGGGATTGAATAGACATGTCTAAGAGGCACTCCATTTGCTGCAAACTTGAGAAAGAGCCTAGAGGGAGTGAATGATTCTGCTTTCGCCTTCTTGCCATACTGGTGTTGATCACCTTTCACTATCCCACTGAAAATAGTGAACTACAGCAATTCAAACATGAAATCAGATGCAAGTTCTTCTAAATGCATATAAGTCTTCAATAATATGGATATCAGATTGTATTGAGCTGCAAATACGAATACATTAATAACCTTCAATTTACATAGGAGGCATCAACATAACTTCATACTGGGAAACACTGTCTACCCTCCTAACAACTGTCATCTCTGTGAACGAATCATATCAAACGTTGTGTGCCATTTACATATAATAAATAGAAGAAAGAAGAAAAGAAAATCTCAAACTCCAAGTCTCATAGAAAGGAATAAATAGGTAATATCCAGAATAATACTCAATTGTAATTTACTATACATTTCAAGCAAAACATTTTTGTGAGGGGTGAAGCAATCACGAATTTGCTTCGTCATTTCCAGAAAATCGCAACACCTCTTTAGCCATGGAAGAAAATGACTTGGCTTGGTCCTGCATCTCAGCACTTCTAATGTTGATGCCCTGCACATAGAAATTCACAAAACTTCAGTACCTTCTCTGTTCTGCTTTCTTCTATATTAGATAAGTTAAAACATAGAGAAGCAGCCTTATAAGCAATATTCCCTTTCGCCATAAAAAATCATGTAGGGTAAACATAGTTTTGAAAATATGTCCACCATGAGTAATGAGAGTCACCATATAGTACCTGCAACTTCTTCAGATTTTCACTGAGCTTTGACTTTGCTGCCTCTGCAGCACTGGGTTCCTGCAATCATTGTAGGAAAATTTACTTACATTGTTAGCTTGCCAACATCTCAGTCAAATTACTAAAATAGTTGAAATAAGGATGATCGTTGGGGGTTACTGGCTTACTGCCCCAACAGTTGGGAAGTTAAAGGTACGTCAAGTGATAAACGTTGTTTATTTCTCAACAAATACATTTTTTTCACTTCTATTTTCAATTAGACAAAACACATTTAATGCCCTTGCTTCCCCTTCCCTGAGCCAAATAGACTGTGAATGCAGGAAAGAGAACTTACAGCTGAAGCAGTATAGCCATATCTTTTCTTAATTTGACCAACAGTATCTGCCTTGCCATCTTGTGGTGCATCATTTATCGGGGCTTTATTGTTTTTGACCTTCATGGGCATAAACTTTCCTGTAAAAAGAAGAGCAATGATTTCTAAATGAAAAATGATATAGAACTACTGGTCATTCAGCGCCGTTATTAAGTGTAGTAGAAAAGCCATCTAAAAGAAGATGGGAAAACTGAACAACTGGTGAATGGAGATTCGTGAGACAGCATTAATATTATTTAGTTGAAAGCTGAAAGTGTTGATAACACTTCTAAGCATATTAAAAAAAGGCAGATAAAAGATCGATGGGAAAACCTAAAACTAATAAATGTAGACTCGTGAGACGGTGAGACTGCATTATCATTGCACTGCAGAAAGCTAAGAGTGCCGATAACTATCAACTTCTTCACTCTAATAACTTACCTTTCAGAGCCTGAAATGTATTTGTAAGGTTCTGCTTGTTGAGTACTGCTACCATTGGATTTCCCTTCTGTTTCTCTTCTGGATCTTCAATTTCAATGTCATCTTTGAGGGAAAACAGAAAGTTAGCAGCAGGTAGTTGTATAGTTTGAAAAAGCAAAAAAGATCTTCTTGAAGGGAAAACTATGAGCAACTCTATAATGTAATGCTCTCCAAACTTTTATCAACCAGAACTTTTCATGAAAATATGAAAAACAGTTCATAAATTGTAACTCTTTTAGGTTGTTATTTCTTTACTGTTCCCACTTCCACTTTCTTCTGCGTCTGATTTTCAGTTTAGTCTGAGAAGAGCATTATGCAGGCCCTTATCATGTCGTTGCCAGGTATTCAGTTCAATGGAAGAAGTGAATGATGAAGTAGCGGACAACCATTACAAGCGATAAACAATACCTATATCCAAGTCAGCATCCTTTTCGTTCCTGCTTAACTTCTCTTCACTGTGTGTGAGTGATGGAAAGTTGTCAGCTGAAAATATTGCAGACATCTCTTCAATACTTACTCTTGCATTTTCAACTTCGGCGTCAGGCACATTGTTTGCTTTATTTCCCTTGGCATCTTTGAAAACAGATCCAAAAATTCCCTATAGTCAAGAAAGTCAAAGAAATTATTTAATAATGAACTGAAGGTTAACTTAAAATTTCAGAGTTAGGAGAACCCCAACCTTTTTTTTTTCTTTTTGGATGATGGGTGCAGAGATCTTCCCTGGTTCAACCACTAGATCTCTATCGTAAACATGGGAAGCAAAGTCCAGGAACCTATCATGCAGCAATACTATGAATTGCAGGCGATACTTATTTCTTATAAAATAATTGAATTCTCAGTGGGAAGTGAAGGAGGTGGGGGATGCAATTATGTTCGATTATTCCTTTACAGGAATAAGCCAAAAAGAAAGTAGGCTGTCAAATGAGAAAAAAAAGATTTGGTTGCTGAAACATTTGTCACCTGAAGGAGTCATTTTGCAAGGAAACTGAGACGAAGAACATTTCTTGATCCCTGTCAACCTAGACATAAATAATTTTTTGAGTTTAAGTTAGAACTTAAGGTATATAAACCTCATAAAAAAAGAAGAAGCCTAAAGTGTCGGTGCAATACCACTATGAGTTCACCAGTTTTTGACGCGCATACTGAATGGTCAGCTATGGCGTTTACCTTCGGCGGCGAAAGTACGAGGCCTCTAACTGAAGTTTCCTTTAGAAGGGACAACTCTGGAAGAGACCTGAAGTTTTACAGAATAAATTCAGCAGGATGTATATAATTTTTCCCCCCTTCAGTGAAAACATATAACTAAGGAACTGAGGGAGAAAAACAACAAGTGCAATTTAGACATCACAAGCTTCTAGTGTGCACTCACAACAAACCCAGTCTAATCTCATGAGTGTACGCAGACCTTATCTCTACCTTGAGAAGGTATAGATATGTTTTTGATAGACCCTCGACTCAAGGAAAGATGTAAAAGAAAGCAGTAGCAACAAGCAGAAACAACAACAAGATAGTACAATAATCGAGGCTAAAGAAATACAAGAATAATACTAATACTCTGGGAATGGGATAGCAATACGCCCGACTACCTACAAACCTTCTACCCTAATTATCGACCTCCACACCTTCCTTTCAAGGGTCATGTCCACGGTGAGATGAAGTTGTACCATGTCCTGCTTAATCACCTCACTCCGATACTTCTTAGGCCTACATCTACCCCTCCTCAACCTCAGTACGGCCAACCTCTTGCACCTCCTTACCGAGTCATCTGCACATCTTCTCTACACATGCCGGAACCACCTCAACCTCACTTCCTGCATCTTATCCTCCATGGGAGCCACTCCCACCTTGGCCCCAATGTCATCATTCCTAATCTTCTCTCTCCTGGTATGCCCAGACATCCATTTCAACATCCTTATCTTCGTTACACACTCCACCCCATATAACATAGTCAGTCTAACCACTACTTTGTAGAGCTTACCTCTAAGTCTCGACGAGGTAAGTCTCTAGTGGCACTCATATTTTACATTTAAATGCACTTTGTGGCTTACCCTACAGAACTTCAGAAAAGGATATGATAGAAACACAAACTAATAAGCTCTCTTTTGAAGAGGCAAAATCTACATGTTTTCAAAAATTGTATTCTTGTTCCCGAGACAAGATCAATGGTTTAGATATCTAGTATCTAGTATGCCGTAGTATGCTTTTGAACTAGAACCGAGACTACACATTTCTAAGCCAGTAAAAACTTGTATGATCCATGAGAGAATCAACAATAAAGGAGTAGTTCATGATAATATTACCGAGCAGAATAATTCTCATATATATTTGGTTACACAATAGAAGAAACATCACCTAATCTCAATCTTTCCATTCGAGAAGAGAAGCATAAGGCCGGCCTCAGGTGTGTCAAATGTTGATGCCCAGCAACACAGAGAGGAATGAAACTTCTTTTTGTAGTATACTTTCTTAATACCCTGTATATATCAAGCAAATAGAACACACGGTGAGATGGATAGTGCGCTAGTTTTATATTAGCACAAACAAGACAAATAGACACATACCTGAATAATATGCAATAAGGAATAGACATACACAGCTTTTTCAGAACAAATCAATCCTAATGGTTGCTTTGATGCAATATTATCCGAATTCCCCTTAATCATGTCTATACCA